TATATATATATTATTCTGTATGAATATATACAATTTCACATTTGTAGATATTGCCGAATTTTATTAAACAGTTTGATATTTCTTATATATATATATATATATATATATATTATATATTTGTTTTCTTATTTTTATTTGTAATAAATTTCTAATATTTCTCTTTTATGTTATTCGTAAATTTTATATTTAATAATTCTTTTTTTATAATAATCTATTTGTTATAAGAAGTAAGAAAAGTTCTTATTTGAAACAAGTTTTCAATTTCTCGCAATATATCGAAGTTCAAAAATTCATATCGATATATTATTCGGAATAGTCGATCTATCGATCATACAGAAAACATTTGTTATCGTACGAGAATGCCGGCAATGTTGAAGAAACGTGCTTTGCTTTTATGAGGAGTATTAAAAAAGGTTATTTAATTCTGGCTTGTCATTTTAATTACAATGGAGAGCTTCACTGAAAATTCAAATATTGATTCAAGAGCTACTGTAAGTATCTAAAGTACTATGTTCATTTCAATATCGTTTAATTCAAAAATAAAAATTTTTCAAGGTTAGGTTTTCTATGATTCATTGTTAGTTGTTTTTAAAATTTAAATAATATAGTATGTAATTTTTTACATATATAAATAAATAAAAATTATTTGAATTAAATCTAATTTTTTTAAATTATTCATAAGTTTTTTTTAATATAATATATTTTAAATATTTTTATTATAGGATGACAATGGTGAATTAGATAAATTAAAAAAGAATTACTTGTTATTAAAACGAAAAATTTGTAGAACGCAGTAAGTTATTTTTATATTACTTATATTTTTGATTTATTATATATATATAAATATTCTTGTTGTATACTTATATATAATTATGAGCATCATATATATTTATGATAATTATTTGTTAGTGAATTGATTAGACAGTACAATGATAAAGTGAAAGAATGCGAGCGTATAAATCAAGAATTGGAATCGACACAAACAGAACTCAAAACATTGAAAACTACTTATAATGGAGTATTGGGAAAAGTTATTAAATTGGAATATGTAAGTAATTTATTTGAGAATATTTAGTTTTATAATAATTAAATATTATTATAATTTATTTTATTAGCAAAATAAGCAATATGAAAAAAAAATTACATCTATGTCGAGTACAACAGAAACACAGGAAATTCAAATTGCTGGGAATAAACAACATTTGCATCAATTATCATGTAAATTGAAGGAAACGGTAGATAAATGTGCTGATGATCAAATGCAGTGGGAAATAGAAAAATCTGTATTGCAAGGTACCTGTGATAGATATAGGCATAATAATATATACATACGATTACAGTATAATTATTTATCATGTTTAAATTATGTTATCAGAGAAAATCAAAGAAATGGAACGTAAACTGAAGATTAATAAGAATAGTAATTCTGTAATAAAGAATATAAATAAATCGCAAAGGATAGACAAAGGTACAAATTGCAATTTTCAAAGTTAGTATTTCAATAATATTTATTTACTTTATATAAATTAATTGATTAAGTACATTTAAGAATTTAGATCTCATTGTATTTTGCAGATTTGATATCAAAGGTAAATGTTGCTGTAAATACAATAAATGACAGTACAATTACTCGGGCTGACAAAGATGTAATGACAAATCTGTCTTTTGGAAACAAGAAAAATGATTTTTATCCTTTATTTTGTGATAAATGTGATGACTTTCTTTTTGATCCTGCTAAAGCAATCTGCAAGACAATGACTAAACATTATGAATTGATTGAGCCAATTTCTCCGTGTAGGGAGCTTGAAGAAGGTTACTTTTTTACTGTTTTTCTTTTTTATTGATGTCTAAAAGTATATTGATATTTAAAAAAGAACTATATATGATTCTTTTTGTAATAGATTGGGAAAATGATGAAAGATCTAATTTTCAAAATTCATCAAAAGATCAAAGTAAATCCAGTAATAGTAGATTTGAATTATCCAGAATATCATCCGCATTAAGGGAAGATCAAATTCCTAATGTTGTAAGAGAAGAACTTTCGGCCAACTCAATTAATACATCTACTGAAACTTTAACACATACTATAGATGACTTAAAAAATCAGATGAAAAGATTAGAAAAAAAGATAAAGAAGCAATCATATCAAAATTGGCCACCAAATTATAATTATTTCCAAGTTCCACCACCATTTAGCAATTTCCATAATCAAATGTGCAACTGTTCAATAAATAAGTCGACATCACGGTGTGTAAACCAAGAATATAATGTGAATAAAACCTCACGTAACAGTAAGCAAATTCAAAAGAGAAAACATAAATCTAAAGCTCGCAAACTTAATTTAAAAAAGACAAAGTGCAAACGAGTAAAAAAAATTGTATCCGCATCTACTGTTGTTTGGAAAGTGGATTCAATCGTACCTTGCTATAAACAAATTATAAGAACTAATAAATCTACATCAAATAATCATCTATATAGACCTAGTCATATTAACAATAATCTAATATTAGATAATGGTTCAAGCTTTACAAATGTTGAAAAAGATATATGTCGCAATAATTTAATTGAAACTGCAAATGGTAATAATATGTCGAAATTAAATATATCGAGTGATAAACCATGTTTAAGTTCCACGATAATTGAAGAAATACAACCAGTACGTGATACTCGATCTATTTTAGAACCATTAAATATTAAAAGTAACACTTCTTTTCAATATGAAACTAATATTGTTACTGATAAGGATACTATTAATACTTTAGACTCTACTCGCAATAGAGCTTCCATATTAAGTACAGATACTTCTATGAGTAATAACTCTAATGTATCTGACATTAAGAAGCAAATAAATATTTCTCTTATCGAGAAATCTGATAATACTGAAAATATGAAAGAAGATATATCAAATCCAATCGATGAAGTTCCAATTCATGTAAATACTTCAGATTCTATTTCTAATATTACTGAAAATAATACCATTTCAAAGAATCGGAAACGTAAATTACAGATATTTGAGAATAAATTAAAGAAATTGAATTTAAATGAAGATTTGTTAATTTCGAAGAAAAATAATAATAGTATTCACAATATTAAAAGTAATGTAATGAATATTAATGAAACTACAAGTGAAAATATTTCTGAAAAAAATATAAATAACAAATCGAATGTTCAGACAGTTAATACAGATGTTGTACTTAAAAAAAAGCAACGTATAATATATAAAAAAGAAACAAACAATCAGGAAGTATCGACATTTAGTAATGAAAATATAAATGTAATTAAAGAAATGGACGATAAGTCTGTTGAAATAGCACAAGCAAATATATTAAATTGTACATCTTTAAACAAAAAAGAAACTGAATGTATCGGAGAGCAAAGTAATAATATTGAAGTTTCAAATAAGCAGCATAGATTTAATATAAATCGAAATCCTAAATCTAAATATATATGTACTTTAAATAAAAATCGTATTAGAATATTAAGAAATATAAAAAAGTTGCGGCGGACTAGTCGTTTATATAAAATCGGAAATTTAAAGTTGTTAGATTCAGATGAACCAATAATTGAAGAAGATGAAAGTGTTGGTCAGAAAAAGTGTGTACCTAAGCTTAAATATAATAAAAATAATATAGTAAAAATAAATTTGATGAAAAAAATTAACAAATTAAAAGTAATAGATAGTAAGTTCATTGAAGATTTTTCGGAAAACACTTGTAACAATGAAACGCAAATAAAGTTAACAGGTAAATCAGAGAAATTGATGGAAAATGTGCAAGTACCTGCTGCTAGTTCGATCGCTATATCTACTGATATAAATGAGAGCATAAAAGATGAATGTTTTACTGATACAAAGTCACCATTAAAAGACTCAAAGTTAATGCAAAATGAGGATGCATTTATTAATATTAATGAAAATACCGAGAGAGAAAACATTGAATCATGTAATAGACTTATTTCCGATGAAGAGAATAAAATGATACAAAATGTTTATTTAAACAATTCTAAATTGAAATTAATTAGCCCTTTAAAAAAGAAACATATTTCTAAAGACATGTGTGAAAAATCCTTGGAGAATGAAATAAATGAACCGATTCAAAATATAAAAATCGAACCGCAAATATTAAATATGAACGAAATTGATACTTCAATCCATTCTGAAAGTAATATTGAATCACAAGTGACAGGACTCGAAACTTCTACGTTCTTTGAAGAAGAAACAACTGCAGAGATATTTAATAAAAATATGAAAGAAACAAAAGAATTGAATTTAGAATCCAATAAAATATGTCCAGACAAACAG